GATCCTCAGCACCACATACCAACAAAGATGTTGTGTCCGCCGAGAACTAAAAAAGTAAATATTAAAAATTTTCTCTCTCTCTCTCCTCTCTCACTCTCTCTTTTAAAATAAATAAATAAATAAATAAATAAAATTAAATTAAAAGGGACTGGAGATGTGGTTCACCCATGGGTTCAATCCCCACTATGTAAAAAAACTTACATGTGAGAAGGATCTCTAGAGGCCCAGGGAGTTTAAGGCCAGCCTGAGCAACATAGACTATGCCTCAAAAAATAAAATAGCAAAATTTAAATTGTAGATGGACACAATACCTTTATTTATTTATTTGTTTGTTTGTTTATGTGTAGGTGAGGATTGAACCCAGTCATACATGCTAGGCAAGCATTTTACCACTGAGCTACAACCCCAGTCCCCTATCCAGATTACTTTTAGATTATTAGATTGTTGTGAGCTGTTTCAACAATTTCATCTTTAATTGGCAGCTATTTCTGTTTGCCTTTAGCTATGTATTTATCATCAAAATTATTGTAAATTTATATAATGATGGTTTTACATTGCAGTCGTCCTTACACAAACAAAGTTATTACTCTATGGTACCGACCTCCTGAGCTGCTGCTGGGGGAAGAGCGCTATACACCAGCCATAGATGTCTGGAGCTGCGGGTAAGGTTCTATTAATACTTTCTCTTGTCTGTGACTCACATATTATTGATCTGTACTCTGTTTTCTCTCTACATTGGCTTTTAACAGTTCTTCTAAAATTCTAAAGTTTTTCTGCTGAGTATTAATATCAGTGATACACCTTTTCTTTAAACATTTCCTCAATTGTCTTTTTTTTTAAAGAGAGAGAGAGAGGAGAGAGAGAGAGAGAGAGAGAGAGAGAGAGAGAATTTTAATATTTATTTTTTAGTTCTTGGCGGATACAACATCTTTGTTTTGTATGTGGTGCTGAGGATCGAACCCAGGCCACACTCATGCCAGGCGAGCATGCTACCGCTTGAGCCACATCCCCAGTCCCTGTCTTTTTTTTTAAATTTCATTTGAATTAGGATTTAAATGATTAAGATCCACAGATTATAGTTGATTACCCCAAGTCTTTTAATTAGACGTCCTCCTTCCATCTCTCTTTGTTTTGTTTCCTTACACTTTCCTTAGAGGAAACTAGGTAATTTGTTCCGTAGACTTCTCACAGCCTGAATTTTGCTGATTGTATCCTTATAGCTGGTTTTTATTTTTTTTGCTTTTTTTTTTCCTTCCCTCTCTTTCATTCCCTCATCCCCTAAACACTCAGTACCAGGGATTGAACTCAGGGGTGCTTAACCACTGAGCCACATCTCTAGCCCTTTTTTATATTTTATTTAGAGACAGGGTCTCACTGGGTTGCTTAGGGCCTCTCTTAAGTTGTCGAGGCTGGCTTTGAACTTGAGATTCTCCTGCTGCAACCTCCCAAGCCTCTAGGATTATAGACGTGTGTCACTGYTCCTGGCTCTCTCATGTTCTTTATCCCTTTTATTTTCTGTAAATTGTAGGGAGATTCAGGGTTGATTTCACAACCACCCACTGACCCTTAAACTACTTTACAGGTGGGTTTGAGGTTTTTATTTTCTTTTGGGGGAGATGGATACTGGGATTGACTTAGGGGCACTCGACCACTGAGACACATCCCTAGCTGTGTTTTGTATTTTATTTAGAGATAGGGTCTCACTGAGTTACTTGCACTTTTTTTTTTTTTTTTTTTTTTTTTTAGGCTGGCTTTGGATTTTGAGTGCTTCTAACTGAAGATCAGTGGTAGTTCAGAATTGAGGGTAGCAAGTGATAGGAACCACTGATAAGAGAACAAACTGTGAATGAGTGTGTTATCTATTGAGAATTTTAAAATAATGAAACAATCCACTACAAATCAGTAGCTTTTGATTATGGCAGTATGGGGATGGTTATAAACAATGCCTCATAAAATATTAATCCCTATTCGGGCAGATTTACACACATACCCCACTTGATAAATAACAGTTGTCTCTATTAATTTATTTTGGCCTTTGTCTATATCTTTACAGCTGTCTCTTTTTATGATATTATTAACTATTGATGATCATTGCCTATATCCCTTAATTCATTTGTGGTAATTTTATAATGGTAATATTCTCATCATACCATTCTTTATTAGAATATTTATATAAAGATGCAAACTGGGTAGAAAAGTTAGGATAATGCTTAATTTTTTTTATTTACCAGTTCAAAATAATGATGTAGTTTTCTACTATTCCCAGAGATGACCAGTGAGAAAGATTTTGGTTTTATTTTTTACTTTTATTTTACAAACTCCTGGATTTAAGCATATTTGATGTGTTTTAATTCATTGTAGTTATTATCCTTATTCCTGTTTAAACTATCTAGTTTTTTACCAGTGGGAGCTTTTGTCAGGTTATTTCTTGAGTTTTGTTGATAATCATCGTGGGTTTTTTTGTTTATTTGTTTTTTTGGGTACTGGGGATAGAACCAAGGGGCTCTTGGGCTGGGGATGTGGCTCAAGCGGTAGCGCGCTCGCCTGGCATGCGTGTGGCCCGGGTTCGATCCTCAGCACCACATACCAACAAAGATGTTGTGTCCGCTGAGAACTAAAAAATAAATATTAAAAAAAAAATTCAAAAAAATTAGTGTTTTTTGGGCTGGGGATGTGGCTCAAGCGGTAGCGCGCTCGCCTGGCATGCGTGTGGCCCGGGTTCGATCCTCAGCACCACATACCAACAAAGATGTTGTGTCCGCTGAGAACTAAAAAATAAATATTAAAAATTCTCTCTTTCTCTCTCTAAAAAAAAAAAAAAGAACCAAGGGGCTCTTTACCACTGTACTAAATTCCCAGCCCTTTTTATTTTTATTTTATTTATTTTTTTTTTTAAAGAGAGAGGGAGAGAGAGAGAGAGAGAGAGAGAATTTTTTTTTTAATATTTATTTTTTTTTTAGTTCTCGGCGGACACAACATCTTTGTTTGTATGTGGTGCTGAGGATCGAACCCGGGCCGCACGCATGCCAGGCGAGCGCGCTACCGCTTGAGCCACATCCCCAGCCCCCCTTTTTATTTTTTTAATATTTTTTTAGTTGTAGTTGGACACAATACCTTTATTTATTTATTTTTATGTGATGCTGAGGATCAAACCCAGAGCCTCATGTGCTAAGCAAGTATTCTACTGCTGAGCTACAATCCCAGCCCTTTATTTTAGAGATAGGGTCTCATCAAGTTAACTGCTTAGGGCCTCACTAAATTACTGAGGCTGGCCTCAAACTTGCAATCCTCCTGCCTCAGCCTCCCAAGTGGCTGGGATTATAGGCATATACTATTGCATCTGGCTTCATAGTAGTCTTTGATATCCTCCCTTACTTTTTGGTTTCAGGCTTATCCTATCTTGTTCATTTTTGCCCTACTACATGATATTAGCTATTACTCTAAAAAGCCTTCATTCCTTTGTGGAAAATAGTAGAAACCACAATTTGTGTGTTAGGGGAACAGACATCTTTAAATGGGTTAGTTCTTAGTTGTTTCTTACATTGTGTGACACACTGTCCTTGACCTCCATGCTTTATGGTTTTGACATATGTACTTCATGATATAGTATATCCCATTCTTTCCTTTCCTCACAATTTTTTTTTGTTGTTGTTGTTGGTACTGGGGTTAAGTTCAGGGGCACTCAACTGCTGAGCCACATCCCCAGCCCTATTTTGTATTTTTAGAGACAGGATCTCACTGAGTTGCTTAGTCCCTTGCCATTGCAGACGTTGGTTTTGAACTCTTGATCCTCCTGGCACTGTAGGGGTTTTATTTCAAAAAATTCAAAAGGATAATAGAAAAAGATAATTTCTGTGGCAGCTTACCCAAATCAAAAGAAACTTTAGTTAAGTTTTACTGACTCAAGCTGGATATGTTTGTGTTCTGGGCTATTTGCTTTAGCAGTATTAGCAACTAGGCTCTAAAATTAACACCCCAGTAAGATGTATGGGGAAAGTTCATAGTTCTTTTAGTATTATTATTTCAGTCTGTGCAACCTGTCACTTCTGCAGTAGCAAAGAGTTGATTACATAATGAATGTTTTAGCCACCCAAAGATTGGAAACTGAAATAAAACACAATTAGAAATTGAAACTGTAGAAAACTAGTCTTACTTTAAAGTTCAACTTACAAGATTATGCTTACCTTTTTAAAAAAAAAAATATTTTTATAGTAGATGAACACAATACCTTTATTTTATTTGTATGTGGTGCTGAGGATTGAACCCAATGCCTCATACGTGTTAAGCAAGCTGACTCTACCAGCTGAGCTATAATCCCAGCCCTATGCTTACCTTTCGAAGTGAACTTATTACTTTGATGTTCCATGGTAGTTTCTCTTAAGATATTTATACAGAATGGTTTTTTTTTTAACAGAGAATTAATATAGCAGTTCAGTGTACAAATCAGAGGAGAAACTAGAAAGACTAGTATAACAAATTATATGTGAAATGAGAAAACCTTGCTATTGTGTTTTTCATTTATCTCCTCTTATTTCCAGTTGTTAGAACAGTGGAACTTTCTTTTTCTTTTCTTTTTTTTTTTTTTTTATATTGGGGATTTAATCCAGGGGTGCTTCACCACTTACTAGTCTTACTAAGTTGTTTAGGTACTCAGTAAGTTCCTGAGGCTGGCCTTGAACATGCAATCCTCCTGTTTCAGCCTCCCTATAACACTGGAACTTGATTTGGCAGTTAATGTTTAAGGTCTGTTGAAAATAGAATAAATTTTACTTTTTTCCATCTCAAACATTTGAATATCAGAAGCAAAATGTTGCCTTTTGTCAGTTGAGATTAATAAATGTTAATAGGTGCTGATTTCTTAAAGAACTATGTTTTTCTTTCTCAAATTAAGCCAAGTTAAAGAATTTCAAAATAAATATATAAAAATTGGTTCTGTGAATATTTGTAAATAAATTTTATTTCAAAGCATAAGTCAAACCAGACATGATGACGGCATACAGCTGTAATCCCAGTTACTTGGGAGGCTGAGGCAGAAGAATTCACAATTTTGAGGCCAGCCTACGAAAGTTAATGAGACCCTGTCTCAAAATAAAAAATAAAAAGGGCTAAGATGTAGCTCGGTGGTAGAATAATCCTCAGTACCCCCCAAATACATACACAAACACAAGTCAGAAGAGATTTATTGCCCCCTACCTTTTTTAACATGCYGGGTTAAAAAATGAAATATTTCATGCATACAAAAAGTATATATTTTTTCTCTAATTTTACTTTGGAATAATTAATTAAAACTAATTAAAAATTATAAGACCTATGGGGCTGCTCAGTAATAGAGCACTGCCTAGCATGTGTGAGGCATTGGGTTCAATTCTCAGCACCACATATAAATAAATAAAATAAAGGTCCATTGACAACTTTAAAAAAAAAAGAACTTCTGCACAGCCTTTATCTAGATGTATTCCCCCACCTCACCCCCAGTACCTAAGTATTGAATCCAGAGTGGACCGCACTCTTTTACTAAGCTACATTTCCAGGCCCTCCCTCCTTTATTTAATTGCATTGCGGGGCACAGTGGCACATACTTGTAAGCAGGAGGATCTCAAGTTCAAAGCCAGCTTCAGCAAATCAGCAAGTCCCTAAGCAACTTTTTGAGACCCTGTCTCAAGATAAAAAAAGGGCTGGGYGTGAAGCTCAGTTGTAAAGCGCCTCCAGGTTCTGTCCCTGGTACAAAAAAAAAAAAAAAAGTAAAAAAAATTGCTTCACAAATTTGCATGTTATCCTTGGATAGGACCATGCTAATCTCTATATTTTTCTAATTTTAATATATATGCTATCAAAATATGCACACCCCACCTTTTTTTTATAAATCTTGATTTTGAGACAGGGTCTTGCTGTCTTTCTCAGGCTGTCTTGAATTTGTAATCTTCCTGCCTTAGCCTCCTGTGTAGTTGAGGTTACAGGTATATGTCCCCACACCTGGCAACACTGGGACTTGAACACAGGACCTCACACATGGTAGGCAAGCACCCTATTACTGAGCTGCATTCCCAGCTCACTCAAGTTTTTAGACCTTTGTATTAAAATATAAAATAAACTGCATATGTTTAAAGTACACAACTGAAAACTTTTGACCTAATTTAGTTACCGTGAAACCATTACCACAGTCAAGAAATGATCACCTAAAAATATTCCTTGTATCATTTTGTAATCCTTCTCTTGTACCTACATTATCCCATTCCAGGCAAACCACTATTTTGTTTTCTAAAGTTTTATGTAAGTGGAATCATATAATATATGTACCTTGCCCAGGACATTTTTTATTCAACATAAATTGAGGTTCATTCTTATTAGTGTCACTAGTTTTGTTGTTATGTGTGGGTTCTAGGATCTAACCCAGGGTTGCTGTATTACTGATTTTTATCCCCAGTCCTTTTTAATTTTTTTTATTTTGAGACAGGATCTCAAAAAGTTGCTGAGGCTGGCCTCAAACTTGTGATCCTCCTGCCTTCCAAGTCACTGAAATTATAGGCCTGAGCTTCCTTGATGGCTATTTGTTTTTGAGACAGAGACTTACCTTGTTATCCAGGTTCAAGGTTCATGGGATCAAGTGATTCTTCTGCCTCATCTTTCCAAGTGGCTGGGATTATAAATATGTACCACCAAGCCTGACTAGAATGACTAATTTTTAACATCTTGCCACATTGGCACACACATATATATAACACATATATACATAGAATAAAAAATGTTTATGCTGGGATTGTGGCTCAGCGGTAGAGCACTTGCCTAGCACGGGCAGGACCCGGGTTCGATCTTCAGCACCACATAAAAATAAAAGGCATTGTGTTGTGTCCATCTACATCTAAAAAATAAATATTGAAAAAAAATGTTGGGCTGGGGATGTGGCTCAAGCGGTAGTGCACTTGCCTGGCATGCGTGTGGCCCAAGTTCGATCCTCAGCGCCACATGTTGTTGTGTCCGCCGAAGACTAAAGAATAAATATTAAAATTCTCTCTCTCTCTCTCTCTCTCTCTCTCTGTCTCTCTGTCTCTCTCACTCTCTCTTTAAAAAAAAAAAAGTTTGTTTTTATCATATTTTTTCCAGACTTGTTTGAAGGAAGTTGCATATATCATGCCTTTTCCCTCTTTAATATTTAATATATAGCCCTTAAAAACAAATGAACCTCTTATATAACTATAGTACAGTGATCAAATATTTTTATTTAATACTGTACATTTCATATTTCAGTTTTATTAGTACCATAAGTAATGTCCTAGTAACAATACCCCCAATTCAGGTCCTGTCCAGGATCATGAGGGCTGGTGATTAGCTTGGTGATAGTAGAGTGCTCATCTGTCAAGATTGAGGCTCTGGGTTCAATCCCTAGCACCTGAGGGAAAGTGAATATGCCAATCCAAGATCATGTATTATTCTTAGTTGTCTTATTATTTATTTATTTTTTAATGGAATTTTGCTGTGCTGTTCAGACTGGTCTCAAATTCATGGGCCTAATTGATCCTTCTAGCATTTGCATTATAGGTGAATATAAATTTTCTACCATGTAGATTCAGGTTACACATCTTTTTTTTCCCTCCAGTTCTGGGAATTGACCCCAGGGCCTCAAACATGGCAGGCAAGCCCCTATCACTTAGTTACTTCCCCAGCCCAGGGTATGTTTTTTTCGGGGGTGGGGGATTTCTGGAGTTTGAACTCATAGACACTCAATCATGAGCCACATCCCTAGCCCTATTTTTATTAGAGACAGGGTCTCACTGAGTTGCCTAGTGCCTTCCTAAATTGCTGATGCTGGCATTGAACTCAGGATCCCCCTGCCTCAGACTCCTGAGCTGCTCAGATTACAGGTGTATGCCTCCATGCCTAGCAGGTTATGTATTTTTTTTTAAATATTTTTTTAGATGACAATGGATCTTTATTTTATTCATTTATTTATATGTGGTGTTAAGAATCAAACCCAGTGCCTCACACATGCTAGGCAAGCGCTCTACCACTGAGCCACAACCCCAGCCCCAGGTTATGCATTTTTGAATGGAATATTTCATAAGCAATTTTCCCTGGGGCGCTTTACTACTGAGCCCCCTTTTTAAAAAAATTTTTATTTTTATTCTATCTTGAGTCTCAYTAAGTTGCTTAGGGTCTAGCTAAATTGCTGAGATTGCCTCAGCCTCCCAAGTCACTGGGATTATAGGTGTGCACTACTTTGCCTGGCCATAAGCACTATTGTATTTCTCTCAGAGTATCATATGTGTACTTATATGGATTTTGTTTGCCCTTTGTATTGATATTAATTTTTGTGATTTGGTTAAGTTGTTGTTTTTTTCCCCCACTAAACTTATTGGTTTTATTCTTTTTAAAAAAAAAATTTAATTTTTTGGGCTGGGGTTGTGGCTCAGCGGTAGAGCGCTCATCTAGCATGTGTAAGGTCCTAGTTCAATCCTCAACACCACATAAAAATAAATAAATAAATTAAATAAAGGCATTGTGTCCAACTACAACTAAAAAAAAAATTTAAAAAATGTTTTTAGTTATAGGTGAACATAATATATTTTATCTTTAAGTGGTGCTGAGGATCGAACCCAGTGCCTCACGCACACTAGGCGAGCACTCTACCACTGAGCCACAATCCCAGCCCCTAAAAAAAATTTTAAAAAATATATTTATTTTTTAGTTATAGGTGGACACAATATCTTTATTTTTTTATTTTTATTTTTATACTGTGCTGAGGATCCAACCCAGTGCCTCATGCGTGCTAGGTGAGCACTCTACCTCTGCACCACAACCCCAGACCATTGGTTTTATTCTTATAGTTAATAAAGGAATTTTTAGGGAGATGGCTTTGAGACTGTGTAAATATATTCATATGGTTTCGAATGTCCTGTTCAAAATGACAAAAAGTATTTGTATAAGTGTGATTTATTTGAAAATCATATTAGAACTGATTCTGGCCTATAATTTTTTTTTTTTTTTTTTTTGCAAATACAGTGCCAAGAGGGCTGTAGTATAGTATATATTCTACAGAGCAGATTAATGACACAAACTAACTTCCCTTTTAGAAACTGCTGAGCATCTTTGTAAAATTATCTTTAGTTATTTTCATAATTTACAGTGCCGTAGTAGGAATAAAGACTCTTCTGTGTTTAGAGCTGTCCTTTACAAGTGGAAGTTTGATCTGCTGGCAAATTATGGCAAGAATTTATTTTTATTTTATTTTTTTAGGAAACAGACACTGAAGTTCTAGGCTAATTTACAACACAGTATATTGGATGTAGCCTGATATTATAAAAGTTTATTGAGAAAACTTTAAATAGGCTCCAGGGATTTCTCTCCTGACCTCTCAGTTTTACTCTTTCTAGGTGCATCCTTGGGGAACTGTTCACAAAGAAGCCTATATTTCAAGCCAATCTGGAACTGGCTCAGCTAGAACTGATCAGGTACAGCTGTGCATGTGCTATTATGTACCCAGTATGATAGGTAATCTAATCCTCTAATTTCTAACACTTTCCAATCATTCTACTAAATGATTGTACAAGTTTTCTCTTTGCTCAGTTAGATTTACTTTATATTTTGTTCTAGGCTGAGTATGAAAAGAAGCTATATTTTGGGCCAGGGTTGTAGTTCAGTGGTAGAGTGCTTGCCTAGCATGTATAAGGCACTGAGTTTGATTCCTGGCACCACATAAAAATAAATAAAATAAAGGTATTGTGTTCATCTACAACTAAAGTATATATATATTTAAAAAAAGAAACTATATTTCATTGTAGAAAATATATATTGAAACTATATTTTGTTTTATGGTGATTGGCATTGAACCTAGGGCTTTGTGCATGCTTAGTGCATGCTTAGCATGCACTCTCCTACTGAGCTACATCCCTAGCCCCTCCACTTAATTTTTTGAAGTCTTAACTTGCATAATTTTTCTTTTCTTTCTTTCTTTTTTTTTTGATTGGGAGGGTACTGGATATTGAACCTAAAGGCGCATTACCACTGTGCTACATCTCCAACTCTTTTAATTATTTTTTATTTTGAGTCAAATTCTCACTAAAGAACCTCACCAAGTCACTGAGGCTGGTCTCAAACTTGTGATCCTCCTACCTCAACCTCCAAAGTTGAAAGGATTACAGGTGTGCACCACTAGTTCCAGCTTATTTTGCATATTTTGCTTTAACATGGGCACTTATAGCCCCAGTCTTTCAGGAGGTTGAGATAGGAGGATCTCTTGATCCTAGGAGTTCAGGGCCATTCCAGGCAACATAGTGAGACTTCATCACAAACCAAAAAAGAAAAGCATGCTGTTTTCAGGATGTTTGTTTGTTTGATTCTTAGGTTAAATTAAAATTAAATTTATGGGGCTAGGGAGTGATTCAGTGATAGAACATGTGCTAACCATGTGCAAGGCCTTGGGTTCAATACCCAGTATGAAAAAAAGGAAAAGCCTGTTACTCTTTTTTATTTATTTATTTTTATTTTTTGGTGTAGATGGACACAACACAATGTCTTTATTTTTTATATGGTGCTGAGGATCGAACCCGGCTCCCTCCCATGCTAGGCGGGCTCTCTACCACTGAGCCACAATCCCAGCCCAGAAAAGCCTGTTATTCAGTTGATTACTTTTCTGTTAAACTTTAAGACTTGGATAAATCAGGTCCCTGCCTTCAAAAACCTCCGTTTAGTAATGTTTATGGTATATAAACAGATAGTTTAAAAATTGAACCTATAATAGAAAATTTAGGGAAGTCCTGAAGTTAGAATGAAATTTGGGCCTCCCCCCCACCAATAAAATTGAAAGGAGGAATTCAGCAGGCAAATTTTAAATTACACTAGACACTTTAAAGGTAATATATAACTCATTATTACATAATAAATTCCCAATTACCTATCAAAATTTCCAGTTGTATGCTCTGTTCTCTTCTGTGTAGGGACTATATAAGACTAACTCTTTTGTAGTATATGAACTTAATATTAACTGAATAGAACAAAATTGGTAATGAAAATTGTGTCGGGGATTAAAAACATGTTTTATGCTGGGTACAATGTCACACCTGTGATTTCAGTGACTTGGGAGGCTGAGGCAGAAGGATTTCATGTTTAAGGCCAGCCTCAGCAATTTAGCAAGTCCTTGTCTTAAAATATAAAATGAAAAAAGGAACAGCTGGGAATGTGTCTCAGAGGTAGTTGTGCTTGCTTGGCATGCCTAGGCCCTTAGGCCCTGGGTTCAATTCCTAGCACCATCACTGGAAAAAAAAAAAAAAGAGAGAGAGAGCGAGAGAGAATTGGAATTGGAGATGTGGTTCAGTGGTAAAGCACCCTTGTGTTCAATTCCCAGTACTGGAAATTTTTTTTTTAAACCAAATGTGTAGATTATTTTGTATTATTATGCCATTATTTTCTCTTATTGTATTATAATCAGTTCTTTCTATCCTTAAAGCAGCAAGGTCATATTTTACCTTTCTGCATACCCTCTAATATGATAAGCAAAATTTCCAAACTTTAGAAGGTAATAATTTCTGCTTGTAGAACCTCAAGAATACCTGATGTTGACTTATTTCTTTGCACTTTCTTTTTGTTTCATTTTCAGCCGTCTCTGTGGTAGCCCTTGTCCAGCTGTGTGGCCTGATGTTATCAAACTACCCTACTTCAACACTATGAAACCGAAGAAGCAATATAGAAGGCGTTTGCGAGAAGAATTTTCTTTGTGAGTTTGGCAAAAATGTGTATCTCAGTTTAGGTTTGGCTTGTGTTAAGACTTTGCCTTTTCCTGGCTACGGAGTTATCATTGTCTCAGTTTACTCTGACAAAACATTTTATTTTTAAACAGTATGCTAGTTTTATCATAGCCCTCATACTTTTCTAATTTGACTATAGAAGACCATTTTGTTTTGAATAATATATAAATTTCTTCATAGTTCTTTTGATCTTTAAGGAAATGAGAGAAAGACATTATTGTCGTGTGTTTTTTACCTGGATTGTAGCATTTCTTAAATCCTGTGTGAGAGCAAATCAGTTTGCTTGCATTAGCCAACTTCTAGCTCCCTTTCCTCAGTTTAACAGGAAGCTGGAAATTCAGAGACCTTTTAACAAAAGATTTGAGAACAATGGGATCATTGCAAACTTAACCTTTTCTTTTTTTCTTTCCATAGCATTCCTTCAGCAGCACTTGATTTATTGGACCACATGCTGACACTAGATCCTAGCAAGCGTTGCACAGCCGAACAGACCCTACAGAGTGACTTCCTTAAAGATGTTGAGCTCAGCAAAATGGCTCCTCCAGAGTAAGTACTGGTGGCTATGCAGTGACCCTCCCCTCCCCTAACCCTCAGGAGATGAGAAACTCAAGATAATAGGTTTTTTTTAAAAAGAACTGCAAATGGCTAAGTTTCACATGTAGAGATTTCCTTGAGTTAATAAGGAAGTTAATATGGTTAATAAGGAAGATAGTTTTGCTATTTTAAACAGTGAATAGAGCTGGGCATGGTGTCACACGCCAGTAATCCCAGCTTCTTGGGAGGCTAAAGCCGGAGGATCATAAGTTCAAGCAACTTAGCAAGACCCTGTCTCAAAAAGGATTGGGGATGTCACTCAGTGGTAAAGTACATAGAGTTCAATTCCTAGTACTAAAAGCCAAAATAAACAAAAAAGGTTTAGTTATAATATTTGCTCTAGATTTGACAGTCAAGAATCTTTTTTGTCTCTAGATTCTTAGCATATTGCCCTATACAACCTCTTTGAAAGTATTTCTAGTGCTTGCTTCGGCAGCACATATACTAAAATTGGAATGAAACAGATTAGCATGGCCCCTGCACAAAGATGACATGCAAATTCATGAAGCATTCTGTATTTTTTAAAAAAGTATTTATTTTAGTTTTGTTCTTGACCATTTTATGTTCTAATCACCTGTATCTGTGGGGACCATGTATTTCTCATATTTGTAAGAATAGTCCTAGTTTCAAATAGTTTGCATCACTGTTAAGTCACTAAATATTGACTTAAAAAAATAACGTCTTTGGATCTCCCTTTCATCATAATCCTATGAACTTCCTATATTTTGTAGGACTTCTGGGGATTTTGCACTCATCCCCCACATTCTGGCACATAAAAAAATCTTATTATTAGGCTTGGGGACATAGCTCAAGGGTAGAGTACTTCTGTTGTATGTACAAAGCCCTGGTATTACAGACAGAAGAAATCTTTTATGTCTGATTTATCACCAACAGTATTATAGCTTTTGAATCAGTTTTTTTTTTTTTTTTTTTTGCCAGTGTGTAGGGGGTAATGGGGATTGAACTCAGGGGCACTTGACCACTGAGCCACATCCCCAGACCTATTTTTTCTATTTTATTTAGAGACAGGGTCTACACTGAATTGTTTAGTGCCTCGATTTTTGCTGAGGCTGGTGTTGAACTCACAATCCTCCTGTCTTAGCCTCCCAAGCAGCTGGGATACAGGTGTGCATACCATGCCTGGCAAAGAATGTCTCACTGAAATGGGTAAGATTTCAGTACATGACTAGGTAGTAACTAAATCCGATTGTTCTAAAGAAATGTTCAGATTCATCTGTGGGACTAGAATTTCAGTACACTGAATGTGACTTGAAATTCCTAAGCTGCTTACTGAAATTTGGGAACTCCTATTATAGGGATTTTGTAGTAAGATGGTTTAATATACTTGTAATGTTTGCATTATTGAGTATGGGAAGTCTGGAAATAACATCAATTAATCCATAGTATTAAACGCTACATATGAAAAATATGTAGTTATGGAAATTTAGTGAACAGGAAGAGGAAGGAACCAGTCGTTGGTTTTCACAGACCAAATAACAAATTCATTTTACACAGAATAATTTAATCGTCATGTATTTATATGGTTCCAAGATTTAAATCACCTCCTTTCTTAGACTTGTAAATATTAGTAAGCCAGTAATCTCTGTCCTTTTATTCCCAGCTGAAACTTGACCTGTTATATCAAGGAAGAGCAATATTTGACTAGAACATGAAAATTTATATATCAGGTGTATCCCTAGGATTAGCAAGATCCTTATTTCCCACTATATAAAATCTTTTGGGCTTTTGGACTTTTATTTCCCCAGATTGTCATCTGCCATGGTTCTTTATATGTTGCTACTATCTACTAATTTTCTTGTTTCCTTGTTCTTCTAACTTCCCATGCTTTCCCAGTTCAATCCTTTATTCCTCTATTCACTCACTACTGCATTCCCCTTTGCTTTGTCTTTTTCCAGCCTCCCTCACTGGCAGGATTGCCATGAATTGTGGAGTAAGAAACGGAGACGGCAACGACAAAGTGGTGTTGTGGTAGAAGAGCCACCTCCATCCAAAGCCTCTCGGAAAGAAACTACCTCAGGGACAAGTGCTGAGCCTGTGAAGAACAGTAGCCCAGCACCACCTCAGCCTGCTCCTAGCAAGGTGGAGCCTGGGGCTGGGGATGCAATAGGTCAGTGCTGGAATGGGATCTTTGTGCTTTTATTAAGCACATTTGGCAGATTTTAAAGGTCATATGCAAGGAGTATGGAGCATGTGTGTCTGTGTCTTTTTAGTTTTTGTCCAGTGAGGCAATAGGACAGAGGTTGTTGTTCTCGTTTTTGGAAAGAATATAAGCCATATTTTGTACTTGTGGTTCAGAAAGTCTATAATACACCATTTTCCTTTCTTGAAATAAGGAATACTATATCTTAGATGTGTGATAAAATCAGTGAATTAGGTAAGCAAAATTTAAGTTTTATCCATGACTTTATAACACATGTTGATTTAGAGCCTATCTATATTAGATTTGATAAGATCTTAGAATCTAATTATATTAAATCACAGTTGCTAAATGTATTTAGTTCTGTAGACAGTTATTCATTCTAAATATATCTAAAGCTGTTAAAATGAACTATCATAACAAAATAGTTTTCCTGTAGTACCATCAGTTTTTCTGAACCGTATATGATCAACTTTCCCTTCCTTGTCCACCCCAAATTGGCTACACATTAGAATCATCTAGGAAGCTTTAAAAATAGATACTCTCAAATAGTTGAAAAATAAAAATTTGTCCTAGTAATTCTTATATATAGTAAAGGTTGAAAATCACTGATCTTGAAAAGAATATAGGTAAGTGGCCTGGGAATGTAGTAGCTCTTTGTTAGAACACTTGCYTAGCAAGCATGAGGCCCTGAGATCAATTCTCCGGTATCAGCCAAAAAAGGGGAACTAACAGATGAAAAAAGAATACAGATGGGAGTTATTGTGTGTGTGTGTGTGTTTGGTTTTTTCTTTGTTTTTGGTATTGGGGATTGAACCCAAAGCCTCACATGTATTAGGCAAGTGCTCTACCATCGAGCCACATCCCTAGCCCTTAAAATGAAATCACGGGTCTGGGATTGTGGCTCAGCCGTAGAGCGGTCGCCTAGCGAGGGCGGGACCTAGGTTCGATCCTCAGCACCACATAAAAATAAAGGTGTTGTGTTGTGTCCATCTACACCTTAAAAATACATATTTTTAAAAAATTGAAATAACTTTTACGCATAATACAGATATGTTTTAGTTAATCCTTGTATATTTAAGCCAAAGTATAAGAATGACAAACTATATCATGACAGTTCAAGGCATGAAAAATGAGACTTCAAAATGAAACTTTATTTCTTGAATATTATAGTTCACTTTGCCAATTGAAGAAGGCAGAGGGCCCTTGTCTGCCTTAAATTGACCCTTGTCTTCTCTTACACTGGATCTACTCTCTCCCCACAGGCCTTGGTGACATCACACAGCAGCTGAATCAAAGTGAATTGGCAGTGTTATTGAACCTGCTACAGAGCCAAACTGACCTGAGCATCCCTCAGATGGCACAGCTGCTTAACATCCACTCCAACCCAGAGATGCAACAGCAGCTGGAAGCCCTGAACCAGTCTATCAGTGCCCTGACAGAAGCCACTTCCCAGCAGCAAGACTCAGAGTCCATAGCCCCAGAGGAGTCTTTGAAAGAGGCACCCCCTACTTCTGTAGTCCAGCCTTCAACAGAACAGACAACCTCTGAAGCTTCAAGCACACCAGCTGACATGCAGAATATGTTGGCAGTTCTCTTGAGTCAGCTGATGAAAACCCAGGAGCCAGCAGGCAACCTGGAGGAAAACAACAGTGACAAGAATAGTGGGCCACAGGGGCCCCGAAGAACTCCCACAATGCCACAGGAGGAGGCAGCAGGTAAACAGACCGGTCATGAATCTCATTGAGTTCAGGTGCTGTTGATCCTCTTAAAAATCTCTAACATTTTCTTTTTCACATCAAAGGCATCAGTTTCAGTTTTTCTGTAACCTAGTCTACAGGAGAACATAGCACCAAATGATGTATTTCTTATCCAGCTTCTTTTATTTAAGTTTCAAAGTTTCTCAAAGCACCTTTCAGATATTGTTTTTCTACTTCCTAGGATGTAGGTAAGTAAAGTCCCCCATGTTCTTCCCAAGAAAACCACAACCATAGCTAGTGATGGATCTTGAACCACTGTGCGTATGGTGGCCAGCTTGTCCTGGAAAATCTAACTTCCAAACAAACCATTATCAGTTTGTACTTCTTTACTTCTAGTGGAGTGGATGCTGGATACAAGTCTTACCTGGAAGATACAGACAAGAAAACCCTAATAAAATATCATTTTAATTTCCTGAAGAATAAGTTGGGAATAATTCTAAATAGATTGTTATTTAATACCATATATTTCCTTTCCCCAAAAAAATAGCATATAAAAATGTTCCTTTAAATCTGTGTTCCTGAAAGAGACGATGGAATGGACCCCAGATCAGGAAGTGAGCATTATAGGGGAAGGGGTGGGGTGAAAAAGGAAATGTTACACTTTGATGACCACATATGCAATTTTTTAGAGGGAAAAGAAGTTTAAATTCTCTAATCAATTCTGATTTACAGTCTATTTGCAAAATCTTACTTCTGAAAGTGTTTTCAACTTTTTGGAAATTTTCACTGTCCATGAAGACCCCATGATTTGGGGAATAAGAAGAGGCACCAGGGCTGAAGAGATATACTAACCTTCAACTTTAGGGTCCTGCATTACATTTCATATGGGATTGTGCAGAAAGTATATGCTTTATTTTCACTGGAATGAGATCAAATATATAAACTATTTTTCATATGTAAAGATTTTTAAAACTGGAAGATAATAAAATTAATCCCTTACTTTATGGATAGGAAAACTGCATTCCAGGGAGTTTAAATAAATCCGCCTATGGCTCCTCTGATGATTATTGGGAGAGGCAAAAACTAGAACTTATGTACTCATACGTCTTTATTCATTTTGCCACTGTGTCATGATTCCAAATATTTGTTTTGTTTTTGTTTTATTTTTTATTCCAATTGTAAGAGACTCCAAGACATGGAGTAACAGGACAAAGTTATCTAGAACTAAAGCAGGTTTCTTAGGGCCAGGCATGGTGGTACATGCCTGTAATACTACAGCAGCTCAGAAGGCTGAGGCAGGAGGGATCGCAAGTTCAAAGCCAGCCTCAGCAATTTACTGAGGCCCTAAGCAATTCAGTGAGACTCTAAAAGATTAAAAGGGCTAGGGATAAGACTCAGTGGTTAAGTATCCCTGGGTTCAATCTCTTGTACCAAAAAACAAACAAACAAAAAATCAGGCTTCTTTGCTCATCTCTCAGGTTCTGAATTCCCCACCACACCTCCCCTAAAATTCAGCTCAAATCAAAAGACCTGAAAGAAGTAGGTCAAATTAATGTAATGATTGAAAGAAATTTATCCAGAATTGAGCCAGCAAAGTATCAACCACATGATGAAATTGAACTAAAATTAAGACCTGGCCCATGGCCAGAAATTGTTGGATTTACATCTCAAAGAGTAGAAAAATGCCACAAATAATTATTGTAGTCACCCCTTGATTATTCAGTTTGTCTCTACCATGTCTTCCCTTTTCTTATTTCTCCAGATGCCTCTTATTTGGCCATTTCACTGTTCATTAGCACTTCCACCAGAGGGCAGACTGTATAAACCAGAGAAGTTGACACCTATCAGTTTGGTTACTGTTTATTATCTATTTGTTGGGAAAAGGTGATGGTTTTAATTTAATGAGTCAAGAAGTTTATAAGTTTTTTATATTTACTTTAAACCTCCCTCCAATAGTATGGAACTCTTAGGGATTGGCAACATTAACACTTTAAGAACAATATGATTTGTAATTTGTACTTTATTTTTAACTCCTTTATGAATTTTATTAAATAGTTCTTCATAATCCATCTGCTTTGTTACTTTGAAATAGAATTCTCATTTTATATATGTGAAAGAATTTGAGCCCCCAAATTAGTTCTATTGAGAAGCAATTAGACTATATATAAAAGGCAAAATTTAAATATGAAAAATGGAATAGCTGAAAGAATATAAGTTTAGGGCTGGGGCTGGGGCTCAGTTGCAGAGCCCTTGCCTAGCATGTGCAAGGCACTGAATTCGATCCTTAGCATCATATACAAGTAAAATAAAGGCATTCTGTCCATCTACAACTAAAAAAAAAAAAAAAATAGGGAAAAAAAGAATATAATTTAAATTTGTCCACTTTTGCAATCATGCATTTTTAAAGTTGCTTGCTCTTAGTATTAAAAAGAAAAAAAAGTGTTCGGGGGCAGGGGAGGGGGCTGGGGTTGTGACTCAGTGGCAGAGCACTTGCCTAGCACGTGTGAGACACTGGGTTTGATCCTTAGGACCACAAACAAAAAGTAAGCAAATAAAATAAAGGCATGCTGTCTATCTTCAACTACAAAAAAAAAAAATTAAAAATAACAACAACAACAAAAAGCAGTATTATACAGTCCATGTAGAGTCTCAAAATACTTTTTAAAAGGGTACTGCCTGGCATGGTGGCACACAACTTAATTCCAGCAAGTGACTCAGGTAGGCCAGGGCAGGAGGATTGCAAATTCAAGGTCAGCCTCAACAACTTAGAAAAATAAAAATGTCTAGGGATGTAGCTCAGAGGCTGAGTGCCCCTGRGTTCAATTCCAAGTACTCCCCCCTGCCCACCCCACCAAAAAAAAAAAAGTGTTGTTGATATTCTTATGTGGAGAGAGATGTAGTGTTGACATCAAAAGGCTCTAAAACCATGGAATACTATTGTAAGCCCACCTTTTTTCAGGATATCTGCTTTCCAATTTGTGGATTTTCCATGGCTAATATTTTCCTCAGATTCATTTTCCCCTGCCACCTAGTCAACCAGCCAGTCAACAAGTAACACTGTGGGTGCTGCATATAAGGTGAACAACTCATCCCTGTTCTGTCCTCATTTTTAACAATCAATTGGAAACCCCCTCATTCTCAAGAAAACTGGGACAATTGGTCATCCTGCTTGTATGTTACATATAGCATCTGACTTCATCCTAATACTGCAGAACCTTAAAATTTTTGTAGTTTTTTCAGAGTGCATTCATCTGCATGCTTATGGAATGCAGACTTGTTTCCTGATTGTATTTACAAAATATAATCAAGGTAAATATGAAAATATCTGCTTATAACTAAAAACAGTTTTTGACTAATGACTTTACATCACTAGTTCAGATAATGAATGAATTATTTTATGGATATTTTAAAACATGCTATCATGGGGAAAAAGAAAAATTGGTCATTTGGAAGATATCCAAAACATTAAACCTTTTCTTCAGCAGAGTGACTTCCAATTTTCCAAAGGCACTGTTCTGACTATACTTCTTATTAGGGTTTTGTATGTCCTCAAACTCACATGATTTTACCAGTCTCCTCTCCTGCCTTGGCAGGAGTTCATTATCAGACAAATGATTGCCATACTTAGGCAAATTTAAACAGCAGTAGAAAAAATAAATTCTGGGGAAATGATTTAGGAAATACAAAGTCCTTTCTAAAGATGGAGTGTAGTATCAATTCAATACATTTATGAATACTAAGTTCTTGACTGTCTCCGGGATAAACAGGTGTTTATTAGCAACCCATTCTGCATGACACCGCTGTAGTGATTTTTTTCATAGCATGGAAAAAATCTTGAAGGTAGGAAAACAAAAGAGAAAATTATGATATAAGTAGTTTAGTCTTCATAATAACTGTAACATAGTAAACTGAATGGCAGTGTGGTGATTAATATCCTTTTCTTGAGGATATGAGTTTGAGGAGAGGTAACTGAAGTTTGGAGAAGCAAGTGTATTTTTATACATGATGGTAATGAGAAGTTTCACTTTATTTCTTTTCTCCTGTATATTTTTTAAGTTCTATTTCAGGTTAACCTTATATCATCAAATGTTTTATAAATGTATTAGCCAAATCCATGCAAGGTCTCTGTTGTACAGCAAGATTTTGTCCTAGAAATGTGACCACAGCATGTATATTGTTCCCTCTAATCTTTCTTACTGGTTTATTTTCAATAATGTTTTGCTCTAACAACAACAAAAAGGGATGGGGAGGCTGCCAAAAGTCTACATATTAGAACAGTTCTTTAAGGAAGGAAATGGAGGAAATCTCAGACAAAAATCAGGACAATCATTCGAACCATGATCTTTTTATACCAACTGTTTAGGCCAAATGCATCTATTTTACTTTTAATCACTTGATTTTATTTATAAATTGCAATTCCCTGATCCCAAAATTTTATTCTTTATATATCTGGTTACTTGTATTGATATTTGTTTATGTTGGGCAGTGTGTGTCAGTGTGTGATTGAGTGTGTGTTTGTGTTTATAATCACATGTGATTTTTAAGATGGTGTTTAAAAGAAGTAACCCTTCCACAGCATGTCCTCCTCACATTCTTCCACCAGAGAAGAGGCCCCCTGAACCCCCTGGACCTCCACCGCCGCCACCTCCACCCCCTCTGGTTGAAGGCGATCTTTCCAGCGCCCCCCAGGAGTTGAACCCCGCCGTGACAGCCGCCTTGCTGCAACTTTTATCCCAGCCTGAAGCAGAGCCTCCTGGCCACCTGCCACATGAGCACCAGGCCTTGAGACCAATGGAGTACTCCACCCGACCCCATCCAAACAGGACTTACGGAAACACTGATGGGCCTGAAACAGGTTTCAGTGCCACTGACACTGATGAACGCAACTCTGGTCCAGCCTTGACAGAATCCTTGGTCCAGACCCTGGTGAAGAACAGGACCTTCTCAGGCTCTGTGAGCCACCTTGGGGAGTCCAGCAGTTACCAGGGCACAGGGTCAGTGCAGTTCCCAGGGGACCAGGACCTCCGTTTTGCCAGGGTTCCCATAGCATTACACTCGGTGGTCGGGCAACCATTCCTGAAGGCTGAGGGAAGCAGCAACTCTGTGGTACATGCAGAGACCAAATTACAAAACTATGGGGAGCTGGGGCCAGGAACCACTGGGGCCAGCAGCTCAGGAGCAAACCTTCACTGGGGGGCCCCAACTCAGTCTTCTACTTATGGAAAACTCTATCGGGGACCTACAAGAGTCCCACCAAGAGGGGGAAGAGGGAGAGGAGTTCCTTACTAACCCAGAAACTTCGGTGTTCTGAAAGATTCCTTCCCTATCCATCTTTTCATCCAGTCCTCTGAACCTTTAATGAAATCACTTGCCAGAGTGAGGTAATCATCTGCATTTGGCTACTGCAAAGCTGTCCGTTGTATTCCTTGCTCACTTGCTATTAGCAGGCGACTTACAAAATAATGATGTGGGCATCAGTTCCCCCTGGATGGGTTATAGCCAGAACATGTACTTCAACTCTGTCTAGGAGATACAGTAGAGAATATGGAGAGGGTCATTAAATTGAAAAGTCAAGGTTATATTAGTTTATTGCCTGCATTTCTTGAGCAGAAGAGAGAACAGTTTGTTTTGAGATGGCTCAGGAGAGGCTCTCTTTGGCTTTTAAAGTTTTGGGATTTTTGGTTGGTTGGATTTTTTTTTTAAAGGTTTCTTTCTTTTGAATTTTAATTTAGATTTTTTCCCCTTTAAAGAGAATAGTGTTCACAAAATTTGAACTGTTCTTAGGCTTTTGCTAGAAGGAAAACAGTGGTCTGGCTGATTTAAATAAATGTTTCCTTCCTCTCCACATCTCACTATTTTTGCTTTTAAGTGAACACCCCTCTCCCCCACAATTGAGCATCTTGACCGTATCTTTTTTCCAAGTAAATTACTCATCCTTAAAGTTTACTACACTTTGACAAAGGATATGCCCCTTTCCCTGCACATAAAGCAGGTTGTAGAAAGTGGCATTTAGGGGCAAGTAGGTAAACTTGCCCAGTTTCTTTCCTTTTGCCCAGTTTCTTTCCCGCCATCTCTTGTCTCTACCTCTCCCTCTCTGGCCCCTCCTTCTCTACCTTCTCCATCCTCCTTTGTTTTTGAGGCATTTGTTTGGAAAAAACATCGTTGAGATGCCCAAGAACCTGGAATTTTTTTTTTTTTAATAAAGGAAAGGAAATTCAAACTCCTACATTGTTCTCTGTAACTCTTCAATTCCAAAATGTTTTTTTTTTTTTTTAAAAAAAAACATGTTCTGATGGGGAAATTGATTTGTAAATGTGGATAGCCTAGGACATTGCTCTGAGCTGTGGTTATAAAGATGATGCCTCCATATACCTAGAGGGCTAATGAGAGCAGTTAGTTTATTGTTTACACATATATTTTTATGTCAAAAAAGAAAAAAAAACGTTTCAAACAGAGCATTGTGATATTGTCAAAGAGGGAAAAAGCCCTGAAAATACATGGAAATGTAACCTAGTTTAGGGTGGTATTTTTTTGAAGATACATCAACACCTGATACCTTTTTTAAAAAATAATTTAAAAACAACATATCGTGAAAAAAAAAAAAGAAAAAAACAGTATTGACATGTACACATCCCAGCATGTATATCCTTCCAATTATTTAGGGATTTTCCTCCACAGAGATTTGATTTTGGTTTTGGTTTTGGTAAAAAGGTTAAAATGTAACTTCCTGGCAATAATTTTGCCTTATCATATAAAYAGGAAATGGAAGAAAAAAACTCTCAGGGTTGGATAACTTGGGAGGTATCTCATTCTGGCTTCCATTTCTAAAAGTACCAGCATATGGAGTGTTTTAAAAACAGATACATGTCATATAATTTATCTGCACAGACTTAGACCTTCGTGAAATATAGGTTAGTCCCTTTTTACAAAGAAAAGGCAAACATTCTTTCGAATCTTGGAGAATAGTTTAAAGCTCAAGTGAAGTTTCATGTTTCAATGCCAAGTTCTTATATTAAAAAATAAAATCTACTTATGACAGAAAGGTGCATTAATTTAAAAAACTTTAAAGAACCCTCTTCAGATACTTACATGAAGATTATTTCCCCTGTTACTGAAAAGATAGATGTTGGTGTGTGTATTTGTTTATTATTCTCTGGTTTTTGGTCTGGCCTTGCCCTCAGGGCCAAACATTGATTAATAAGAGAACCTTCTAGCCTTTTTGGTTTAATGGCGTTTTATACCAGTGTGTCAAATTAGATTTTCTAGGCACACTGATATACTATCAGTAAATTGCATTAAAAATTCATCTAAACCTTCTGTCTGTTGACTTCTTAGTCCTCAGACAGGGGCCTTTGTATTTTAGAATATTTGAATTTGAGGTATTGGTCACCCTCCCCTGTTTTTGATTAAAGAAGCTGAGCCTGGGATACTTTTTAAAGTATCTGTTCAGTGAAAACAGAATTGTTTTCCCATTGAATATGAATAAAAGTATCTATTTTTCATTGTATTTTGGTTATCAGCAGTCACCAATAATGTTTTTCCCTCCCCTCTCCCACTCCTTATTTTTAATTATGCCAAATATTCTGAATAATATACTTAAGCTTCCATTCCCCCAACCCTACTAGGGAAGGGGGTGGGTGTATGTGTGTGAATGTATGTGTATGTATGGTCCCATCTCACCCCCACCCCCATTTTGGGAGCATGACCTTTAAAATGGGGGGGGGAAGTTTGGGAAGTTTTGACTATTTCTAAAAGCAGAGGGGGAAAAGATCTCAAATATCCTGGAAATCTGTGTGAAGGAAGAAAAGGTATTTCATAATTTTCCAGCTTATGTTATCTATAAACATGATGGAAGTAAAGGTTTGGCTGAATTTCAACTTGACTATTGGAAAGTTACAAATCCGATTAATTCCATTCAAAAGTGGTTTTGGTTTTGTCTTAACTATTGTACCGTGGAAGATATTAAGTCTATTAAATACATTATTTTGAACAGATGAGAAATCTGATTCTGTTCCTGAATGAGAGGCAAAACTGGTTTGACCATGATTTTGAAAACAAATTTGCTTGACCCAGTTTCTTTAGTTGTTTTCTTCAACTGTCCATAGGAAACATAAGGATTTGAAAACATCATCAGATCTAAATGTTTAAAGCCAGGGCAGTTAGCACAAATTTGTAAGTAGGACTTCTGTTAGCTTATGCCATAGACATCACCCAACCACTTGTATGTGTGTGTGTATATATAATATGCATATATAGTTACAGTGCTAAATGGTTACCAGCAGGTTTTGAGAGAGAATGCTGCATCAGTAAAGTGTCAGTTGCCACCTCAYTCTCCCTGATTTATAGGTTCCTGACACTGTATTCCTCTCTCTTGTTTTTGCCCCCCATCGGGTGTACCTTGTCTATGTACAGATATTTTGTAATATATTAAATTTTTTTCTTTCAGTTTATAAAAATGGAAAGTGGAGATTGGAAAATTAAATATTTCCTGTTACTATACCACTTTTGCTCCATTGCATTTACTTCTAATTTCTGTACCTTCTGAGCATATCTAATTGTGTATAACAGACATTTTACCTCCACTTTATCTTAGAGGTTCTCTGTCTCAAAATCACTATTGATTTCATAAGCTACCAAAAAACTTTCTCAGAGTTTTTGAAGAGGTGCTTGAAAACACTAGACTAGAAACTAGAGAATAAAAAAAATAAATAGGGAAATCCATAAGGCCTGATTTAAAAAAAAAAATAGAACTAAACAGTTACACAAATATTGGTGGCACCCAGCCATCAAAAGAGTTGAGCTTCATGTACCCTGACTCCTCCTGACAGGAGAGGTAAGTGGGTTTGAGCTCAATAGTCATCGAGGGAAGTTGGTAAGAAGCTGTTTAGATCCAAAGAATAATCTCTTAAACCAGGCTCCCCACCATCCCACCCCAACCCAGTTCCCACAATGTTATAGAGCAGGGTCAGCATGGGCATTAGTGTACCCAGAGATTTCCCAATGCCTGCCAATCCAGAAAGTGAATCAATGTTGTTTAAAGGTTAAAGTCCCTATTATTTCTAAAACCAAGTGGCTCATGCCTGTAATCCCAGCAACTCGGGAGGCTGAGGCAGGAGGATCTCAAGTGAGGCCATCCTGAGCAGCTTAGACCCTAAGCAACTTAGCAAGACCCTGTCTCAAAAGAAGGGATGGGATGTGGCTCAGTGGTTAAGTGTCCCTGGGTTCAATCCCCAATACCAAAAGGCAATTCTATTTGTAAAATTTTTCCTATCTCCACCTGAAGAGAGAATTATTTTCCTTTCCCTTTAATGGTTTAGAAGACTGAGGATAAATTTTCTCTTGTGCTACAATCCTGCTAGTTATGACAAGTAGGTAGCCGGTAGATAGAATTCATCAAGAGAAAGGATTAGGGAGGATGAGTATCTGGAAGTTGTAAGTGCGGTGAGCAAGTTGTACAAGGTCAAGGAACACCCTAGAACAAGGGGAGTTAGGAGGAAGTTGAAWTTAAAAATAGCCGATGATATGGGTCGCCAGCCTGTTTTTGAATCTTCAGTTTTTGGTGTTGCCTTGCCTTTGGACTAAGTCATGTCCTCTTTACCCAGGAGAATGGAGAGCTCAGATTGTTCCTGTTTCTGGAATTAGGTGTTCTGTTTAGTCTCCAGAGAAAAAGAATTAGTTTTACATCTTTTTTTTCCTTTGTAGTTGTAGATGGACAGAATGTCTTTATTTTATTTGTTTATGTGGTGTTAAGGATCAACCTTCACACATGTTAGGCAAGCGCTCTGCCACTGAGCTACAGCCCTAGCCCAGTTTTATGTCATATATATATGTTACAAGTTCGTGACTAGGGATGTGAACTCGTATTGTTCCCACTTTATAGCAGTGGCTCTCTTTTCAAATCTGTGCCTAAAAATTGAACCTAACTATCCTGGACATTTTCTTTATCATACTCAAAGTCATTTCTGATTAGGAAACATACTTTTCAGTATCTCAGTTTCTTAGGCACTATTCTCCCAGACAAGCATCCTTAGTATGATAAGGCCAGTGCCTCAAAGACGTTAACAGTGATGCTAAACTGGAATTTTTGTTTTTATTATTAAAGATTATAACTTGGCTCTTTTTTAGTTTTTAAGTGACTTCACAGCATAATCATTTTCAAGGGCTGAGTGGAATGGAATGGGGAATTCCTCAATGAGGAAATACTCTACCATTCCAAGGGAGAGGGACTGCCAAGTGTTCTGTGGTTCTGAGAGGCAAGGTGAGCATTCCTGGACACTTTGGAAGATTTCATTATCCTGTGTATGGCATTTCTTATCTGTAGGAATCCCTCTAGAGTTTCAACTGCCTTGTGAACACTCTTAAATCGGAGATTACTTCAGCCAGGGTTGGAAGACTGCGGGAGTATGACACCTGAAGGAGTCATTGGGGTACTCTACCACTTCTCACTGGCTATTTCTCACCTATTCACCCACTTCTTTTTTTTTTCTTCTTGTTTTCTTTCTACTCACCATCCAACTAGAGTGATGAACAGCTACCATAGGTATTGATTACTTAACCCAGCTGGGTATTTAATTATAGTTGTCTCAGTTTTGGTTTTGGCTTTTTGGCTTTTTGGTGATATTGGGGATTGAACTCAGGTGCTCTACCACTGAGCTACATGCTCAGCTCTCCTTTTTTCTTTTTCTTTTTTTTTTTTTTTTTTTTTTTGAGACAAGTTCTTGCTAAGTTGTCCCGGCTGGCCTCAAACATGCTATCTTCCTACCTCAGCCTCCTGAGTACCCAGGATTATAGGAGTTTGCCACTGCGCCTGTTTCATCATTTTGAAATGCCTTTAGAGGTGATTCAGAAGACAAAGGTCTATTCAGATCCTCAACTTATGGGGTAGGAGGTACAAGAGCAAAATAACCATGTTCTTATTGCCAAGAGCTATGAAAGGAACTTTTAATTCATGTTATGTGGGGCACAGGAGATTGTTTTTCTGGTCATGGAAGCCAGAGAGTCCTTTCAGTTTTCCTGCTTTCCCTCTTTGAACCTTCACTTCTTCATCCTCTTCTCCCTTATCCTGAAATTGTTGCTTCTGCTTGTAACATTTCTATGTTCAGTTGCAGATGGTGTCTGTGGGAAGTAAAGCTTGGTCGAAAAAGAGTTCTGGTATCCAAGAGAACGTAGATAAGGCTTGCAGGGTTGTCCCCCCCACCCCCCGTACCCGTGATTAATCACTTGGATGCCAAAATGCTTTGACCACTGGATGGCTCTCATATCGCTTATTTCAAAAATTAGTGGTCCAAGTTTGCAATAAAGATGTTAGTCCTTAATACCCTCTAGAAGGGTAATTATTGGTGAAAGCTTCTCATCATACAGTCCTTAGCTTTACAGCATGCTTCTCTAGAGAAGCATGAGAAGATATAGCCATAGTTCATTTAGATATAGGTTCCCTAGGATCTAGAAGTAGATTTTTGATGTCTTGCTCTGGCATAGTTGTAAACTAAAGAGAGTGTTGATAGTTCCAAAGGAATAAGGGCTATTTTATGCCTCCTTGAGGGAGGGCAGCATGAAGAAGCCTTTAAAAAGATTACAATGTAGTGATGCAAGCTAAGTGAAGAACAAAGCCTGGATCTTGGARGGTGTCTTTTCTCTACCTGAGGGGGCTATCTGATGGGGTTGTCTCTTCCTCCTATGTCTTAGAATTTCAACTATACTTGATGAGCAACACCCTTGGTGTAAGGATCACCTTGCAGACAAAAAAACTAACTGTACCATGCTAATGCAATTTTAAATGCTTTCCTGCCTGGAGAAAAACAGGATAAGTTTTAAAGCTTTCAGAAAGTTTAGGAGCCTGGTCTTCTGAGATTGACTTTGCACCAATATTTGTGATTTCTTTTAGAGGACCAAGGTCACATAAAATAAAGCCATATAAGGAGGTAGAAATAAGGGTAAGAAGGGAGAACTAGAGCAATTTGGTAGCCAGGTTGCAGAAAGAGAGAGGAATATGGGAAAAATTATGGTTGGGCTAGTGAAATTTAGGGGATGACTGCTCTAGAGGTTCACAGTTTACTCCAGTGAGGTTCCATTAAGGCATCTCTGTGAGTAAAGAGTTTCCCTTGATTCACTGGAGTATTACCTTTAGGGTTAGAGGATGGGCCTAGAACTCTTAAGCTGGGCCATAATTTGAAGACATTTTTTCTACAGAGGCTAGAGAATGTAAACAATATTAAGCAAATAACTTATGATACATTTGTGTAGCACTGTTAGCTACATAGTTGAAGAGGATAAGGAGTAAGAAGGAAAGAACATGATAAAATTGTGTTTTTCAAGTTTTAAAACTCTCCAAGTAGATTTATGTATTTTATGTCAACCTAGAAACTAATATTATTCCTCATCCCCTTATTTTAGATGAATGAGAGCAGTGCATAGAAGAGCAGACAAACCAGAATTTGTGAATTGGAGTTCCAGAATGTTTGTGCTACAAAAGGACATTAGTTTGTTTAGTTCAATGCCATCTTTGGCCAGTAAAAAAAGTTTAGAAAGGTGGAGAAACTGGTGTTTGGAGAAAGAAGGAAGAAAAGGGGAACTAACCTTAAGTATTACCATGTGTCAAGCTCCTGTCTCACTGTCTCTTCTTTTTGGCTTTGGGGAGGAGGAAGACAGGAATGGTGTGTCTCTTGCCACCATGGGTTCTTACAGGTATCTATAGGCTTAAAGTAGGAGAAAACAGTAGTGAGTGTGTGGGCATTGATTGGATATTTGAAGGGCTTTATTTTTACTGTCTTGATTCTTAGGCACCTTGAGACCAAGGGCTGGAAAGAAAAGACATCCCTCTTATTGTCCTGAGCAATATGTAGAAGATAAAGGGAAGTGGTAGACCACTTTTTCCTTTCTAACCACACAGGACTAACCTAGAGGAAATGAAGAATCAGCATTTGAGATTGAGGTTAATCTAAGGAACCAGACAATTGAAAGGTAAATAACTTCTCCATTCCTAGAGACTATACAATGAATCAGAGGCAGGTGTGATAGGGAGCAAGATTACTTTTGGCACTGAGATTGATTTTCATTCTAGAAAGTCAAGTCATGACCCAAGAATATAGGATTTAATCTTAGAGAACAAATAAGGCTTCTAATCCTAAGGCGTCCTCAGAGAAAATAGTGGAAAATAGTGTTTATACACTATGAATCAAGGAGATAAATTCATTTGGTGACTGTGCTTTTTTCCCCCCGATTTTTGTTTGTAACATTTTGAAGTCCTGAAATTGAATTTGTGATTTTTAAAAGTGTTAAGTTTGGGG